CGGTGCGGGTAGTGACTCCCGACGTGGGCGGTGGTTTTGGGCCAAGGGCGCGCCGTCGCCCGAGGAATTGCTCGTCGCCGGCCTCTCCCGGGCCCTGGGCCGACCGGTGACGTGGGACCGAGTCCCGGGCCGAGAACCTCACCTCGTCGGTGCACGGCCGGGCCCAGAGCCAGCGCCTCCGCTTGGGCGGCACCCGCGCCGGCCGCATCACCCACTATGAGCTCGACATCGTCCAGGACGCGGGCGCCTACCCGATGATCGCGCCTTCCTGCCGACCTACACCCGCAAGGTGTTCACCGGCTGCTACCGCATCGCCCACGCCTCGATCAGCGGCGCAGCTACGTCACCAACACCGCCCCGGTCACCGCCTACCGGGGCGCGGGCCGCCCCGAGGCCATCTTCGCCATCGAGCGGGCCGTCGACCTGTACGCCGCCAAGATCGGCATGGACCCCGCCGAGGTGCGCCGCCTCAACTTCGTGGCGCCCGAGCACTTCCCGTACACCAACTCTGCCGGCAGCGCCTACGACTCCGGAGACTTCGGCGCCGCCCTTGACCGGGCCCTGGCTGCGGCCGATACGGCGAGCTGCGAGCCGAGCAGGCCCGCCGCCGGGCCTCAGCCGACCGCGACCCGATGCTGCTCGGCATCGGCATCGCCTCCTACGTGGAGAGCACCTCGATGGGTCCCAGCGAGCTGGGCGAGATCGAGCTGGCCGCCGACGGGTCGCTGGTGGTTCGCACCGGCGCGACGGCGTTCGGGCAGGGTCACGACACCTGCTGGGCCATGATCGCGGCCGAGGCCACCGGCGTGGCGCTGGACCGCATCACCGTGATCTCCGGCGATACGGCCGAGATCGCCTCCGGCGGGCTGACGGCCGCCTCCCGCTCCGCCCAGCTGGCCGGCTCGGCTGTCCTGACCGCGGCCCGGCACCTGGTGGAACTGGGCCGCGTCCGGGCCGCGTCCCGCCTGGAGGCCGCCGAGGCCGACGTGGTGCTCGATGCGGCCTCGGGGGCCTTCCATGTCGCCGGGTCGCCGCGGCCCCGGGTCGGCTGGGCCGACATCGCAGCCCAAGCATCCGAGGCCGGGAAGGCCCCGCTCGCGGCGGCATCGGACTTCGCGCAGGCCGACAACACTTACGCCTTCGGCTGCCACCTGGCCGCGGTCGAAGTGGACTCCGCCACCGGCGAGACGGTGCTGCGCCGCATCGTCGCCTGTGACGACGCCGGCACGCTGATCAACCCGCTGATCGCCGAGGGCCAGGTCCAGGGAGGCATCGCCCAGGGAGCGGCCCAGGTGTTGTTGGAGGAGATGGCCTACGACGCCGACGGCAACCCGCTGGCCAACAACCTCATCGACTACCCGGCCATCTCGGCCCCGGACCTGCCCAGCTTCGAGCTGGTGCCCATGGAGACACCCACCCCTCTCAACCCGCTCGGCGCCAAAGGCATCGGCGAGTCGGGCACGGTGGGCGCCGGCCCCGCCATCCTCAACGCCATCTGTCGACGCCGTGGCCCACCTGGGCATAGACCACATAGACATGCCGGCCACCCCCCAAAGAATCTGGCGAGCCCTGTCCCAGGCGGGTAGATCAGCCCCCAATCCTTAGCTCTTGGCCCACTCGCTTCACCTGGAGCGACTAGCTTCACCGCCCCGTGGCCCGCCTACCGGAGTATGTGGTCTTCGACCTGGAGACAAACGCCGACAGGGCCCATCCGTCTGAGCACGAGATCATCCAGATCGGAGCGGTGCTGGCTTCCGACGAGGGCGCGCTCGACGAGTTCGAGACGCTGGTCAGACCGCAGCGCAGGCTCCCGCCAGCGCATCACGGAACTGACCGGGCTGGAGTACGGCGATCTCGAACACGCCCCGCTCCTTGAAGGCGCCCTGAGGAAGTTCTTCGAGTGGGTGGGCGACAGGCCCATGATCGCCCACAACGGTCTCGGCTACGACTTCGTTGTGTTCGACGCGGCCGCCGCCTCGCTCGGGCTCGCCGTGCCGGGCGGGCATCGGCTCGACACGTTGGAGCTGGCCCACCTCGTGTACCCCCGCGCCGGCAAGGGCATGGTCCGCGGTGTCGAGGGTGACCGTCCCCCGCCCGGCCGCAGACTCGACGACCTCGCATCGCTGTTCGATATCAACGGCCGTGACAAGCACGACGCCCTTGACGATGCCCGCATGGCCCGCCAGGTCATGCTGAGCCTCCTGGACGAGCTAAACGGTCCAGGCTCGGCGCGCCGTCTGCAGCGCTGGGTCCTTGGCCGGGCCGGGCACCCGTGGGCCGGTTTCGTCGACCAGCAGCGCGATCCGGTTGCGCTCGACATGGTCGTTCCCGAAGTTCCCGTTCCCGATGCCATCGTCCCCACGCGCTCGCTCGACATCGGCGCTGTCGTCGACGCCTTCGGCGAGGGCGGGACACTGATGACCGGGAGTCGAACACCTCGACCGCAGCAGGCCGAGATGGCCGAACTGGTCGCGACCGCGTTCGCCAAGCCCGGCCAGCGGCTGATGATCGAAGCGCCGACCGGCACCGGCAAGACGCTCGCATACTTGGTCCCCGCCATCGAGGCGGCCCGGGCGTCGGCCGGGTGGCGGTGGTCGCGCCCCACTCCCGCGTCCTTCAGGACCAGATTCTGGAGACCCTCGAAGAGCTGGAGTCAACGCTGCAGCCGTTCTCCATGGTCGTGCTCAAGGGTCGCCAGAACTACATCAGCCTGAAGGCGTTGGGTGACGAACTCGAATGGCTCCAGGAAGACTCCGGCGAGAATCCGGCCGGCCACGCCACCGCCATGGCACTAGCCATCCTGTGTGCCTGGGTTGCGCAAACACCTTCGGGCGACTGGTCGGACCTGCGCACGGCTGCGGTCGAAGGGAGTCTGCGAGCCCTGCGTCTGCTGCGATGGAAGCTGAGCGTCGACTCCCGGCCCGGCCCGGTCCGCAGCCGACTCGACGAACTGGACTTCTACCGGCGGGCCTTGGCCCGTCTCAACACCGCCCATGTCGCCGTCCTGAACCACGCCCTGCTGGCCGCTAGTCCCGCGCTCAGGGCGGGCCACTTCAACCTGATCGTGGACGAGGCCCACAACCTGGAAGACTCGGCCACGGCCGCCACAACCCGAGAGCTGAGCTTCGCCCACCTAGAGATGTTGTGCGACTCGCTGTGGGATCCGGCCATGCGCCGGGGCCTGGCCGCCCGCGTCGCCACCGCAACCGGCGCGGGCCTGCGCGACCAGCAGATTCAACGGCTGCGCGATGCGACAGAAGCCGTGCGGCTGGCGACGAGTCAGCTGTCCGAGCCGCTCATCGAGCATGTGCGTGACCGGACCGGCGCCACCCGGGAGCAGGCCGCCCGCTACGGCGTCTCGCACCGCATCGTCCGCGGTGCCGACCGGCGGCACCAGTCCTATAGGCGGGTTGAGAGTGGGGGAAGAACTCTGCGTGCCGCCCTGCGAGAGGTGGCCGACGCCCTCGATGACATCGACGTGCCCCAGCAACTGACGGGCCGCTACCGCACGGAGGCCCTGGAGGACGAAAAGGCCCGGCTCGGCCGGGAGGCCCGCGACGCGGCCGCGCTCGTCGATGCTGTGCTGTGGGCTGAGCCCCAGCTCCGGCTCATCGACGACGATCTGGATGAGGATCTCGCCCAGTGGATCAACATCGCCGACGTGAGCTTCGAGGTCGTCCCGGCGGGCATGGCCCGCGCCGGCGCATCCGGGTCGTTGGGCGGGTCCGCTCTCGGCTCGGTCCAGGCGGGACCAAGGTCCGATGCCGGCCGGGGCGGGGCCGCTCTCCGCGTGAGCTCGGAGGATGGGGGAGCGGATCCATCCGAGGTCGAGGCGGGGGAGTGGCGCTGGGCTCTGCGGCGGGCGCCCCTGTCGGTGGCGGGAATGCTCGCCGACCTGTGGGACCGCAGCCACTCGGTGGTGCTGACCTCCGCCACGCTGCGAGCCGGCGACGACTTCGGCTACCTCGGTGGACGGATCGGACTCGAAGGAGTCACCCCCACGGTGATCGACTCGCCGTACACCGATCTCGCCGAGCGCCACCTGATGCTGCTGACCGACTACCTGCCGGCGCCGCGGGGCCAGCTCACCGACCGGTTCACCGACGCCGTGGCGGCTGAGTTGCCACGTCTGTGCGTGGCCGCCGACGGCGGGGCCATGGCGCTGATGACGGCCAGGGCCCGCCTCGAACGCGTCCGGGACCATGCTCGGCCGGTTCTCGCATCCGAGGGCATCAAGCTGCTGGCCCAGGGCGACGCATTCGTCAGCGGCGCTGGTCGATCGCATGAGGGCCGAACCGAACGGCCTGCCTGTTGGGCCTGCGCTCGTTCTGGGAGGGTGTGGACGTCCCCGGCGACGCGCTGAGGCTGCTGCTGATCGAGAAGATCCCGTTCGATCCGGTCGGCGATCCGATCGTCGAGCGCCCGGAAGGGCCTGCTCGAATTGCACGGCAAGGACCCCTTCGCCCACTACCTGGTGCCCCGCGCCGCCATCGCCTTCGCCCAGGGCACCGGGCGGCTGATCCGCACCGCCGACGACATTGGCGTGACCGTGGTGCTCGACAACCGGATGCGCCGACCGTTGCCCTACGTGGATGTCATGCTGCGCGGCCTCACCGGCCCGCCCGCCATCCGGGAGATCGACCGACCCGAAGACGCCTACCAGGCCGTGGCCAGCCACCTGGGCCTAGAGATGGACGACGACGCCGGGAGCGGATTGAACGCGTGCCTGGCATCGAGACGCTGACGCGGGCCGCGCTCGACGTCGGCGATCCCGGCGCGCCGCTCGACGACGCCGGCATCGAGCGGCGCTTGGAGATCGCCAGACGATGGCTCGGGTTCGACGAGTGGCGGCCCGGACAGTACGAGGTGATGCGCCGGTTCATGCGGGGCGAGGACGTGGTCGCGGTGCTGCCCACCGGGTCGGGCAAGTCGGTCACCTACCAGGTTCCCGCGCTGGTGTCGCCCGGGGTGACCCTGGTCGTGTCACCGTGATCGCCCTGATGCGCGACCAGGTCGACAACCTGCGCTCCAAGGGTGTCAAAGAGGTGGCCGCGATCTACTCGGGCGTGGGCCAGGCCGAGCAGGAGGCCGTGCTCCGCAGCGCCGCCCAGGGCCATCTCAAGCTGTTGTACGTGAGCCCCGAGCGGCTCTGGTCGCCGATGTTCCGGGCCTGGTTGCAAGACGTGGACATAGCCCGGATCGCCGTGGACGAGGCCCACTGCATCTCGTTGTGGGGACACTCGTTCCGTCCCGAGTACGCCATGATCCCGACGGCCGTCGCCGCCGCGGCAGGCCAACGCCTGCCGGTGGCCGCGGTCACCGCCACGGCCACCCCCGAAGTTCTCGAAGACGTGACACGGCTGCTCGGCCTCAAGCCCGGCGGCGGCCCGTTGGTGCGCTCGGTCGACAGACCCGAGATTCACTACTACGTGGAACGTTGCCAGAACCGCAAGGACCGCGACCTGCGGGTGGTTCAGGTGGTCGAGGCCTTCCGCCGCCGCAGCGCCATCGTCTACGTCCCCACGCGCAACGACACCGTGCGGCTAGCCGCACTGCTGAGCAGCTTCGGCCACCGCGTCCGCCCCTACAGCGGGGCGATGGAACTGGGGGAGCGCCAGCACACCGAGGACGCCTTTCGTCACGGCGAGATCGATGTCGTAGTCGCCACCAAGGCCTTCGGACTCGGCATCGACAAGCCTGACATCGAGTTGATCGTGCATCTCGAGATGCCTGCCTCCATCGAGGAGTACGTGCAGGAGACGGGCAGGGCCGCCCGCGGCGCTTGCGACGGGACCGGCCCCGCCACCGGCACGGCGGTGCTGCTCACAACTCGCCGAGACTGCCGCATCCACGAGTACTTCGTGGAGTCCTCGGCCCCCGCCATCGCCACTGTGCGGAAGGCTTGGTCCGCGCTGTCCGAGGGCCTCAACTTCATCGACCCCGACCGGCTCGCCGAGCGGGCCGACACCAAGGACGGCGAGCGCGACGGATCGCATGCTCTCGCCTTGCACTACCTGGAACAGGTCCGGGCCGTGCGCCGGCGCCAGGACTTCGTGCTGCGGGGACGGATCGGATCGGTGGACGCCACCAAGCACCGTGTGGAGAACTCCGGGCCCGCGACGCGCCTGGCGGACCGCGCCGACGCCATGCTGGCGCTCGCGCACCGCAGAAGAGGGCGAGTACCGCGGCTGCAAGTGGGCGCAGCGGTTGGGCAGCGCCCCGACGAGGTCGAGCGGACTGGCGATTGAGTTGCTGAAGCTCGGGGTTTGCAGCTTCTCGGCGTGGCGGTTCGGGTGGGTCTTCGAACGGGTGGCGGCGGAGCCCGACTGGAGCCGTCTTGAGCATTTGATCGAGAAGCGCCGCGCCGCGGTGCGACAGCGGTCCGAGCAGGCCCGCGCCCTCGCCCGCGGTCAACCGGACTGTCGGCGCCGTGAGATGCTCCGGTACCTGGGAGAGCCCGATCCACCTGGCGACAAGGCTGCCCGCTGCGGAGCCTGCGACGCATGCACGCCTGAGTTGCCTCGACCGTGGCACGACTCACCGATCGATCCCGAGGATGCGACTGACGCGCTGCGTGAGCAAGCCGAGGCCATCGCGCTGGTCCTCATCGACGGGGTGGAGCGCGGCCAGTGGTCGAGGCGCAACCTCGTGAGGACGCTGCGCGCCGATGCAGGAGGCAAGTACCCGCTCAAACGGGTGCTTCGAGCGCACGGCTGCTACGGCAGGCTTTCGCTGCTTGACGAGCAGGAAGTCCAAGAGCTGATCGACGAGCTGATCGGCAAGAGCTGGGTGGAGAGCACACGCGCGAGGGTCACAAATACCAGACCCTGCACCTGACTCACGACGGTCGCAGGACGGTCCGTGGGCGCTATCCCAGATAGCTGGCCAGAGAACGCAACATTCGAAATGTAGTGTTTACAGCTTATGGCGTTTCCTGCTGCCTGAGAACATCCCGAGCCGCTCCGGAGTCCCTGATCGATTGAGGCAGGTGGCGCGAGCTCTTCGGGACTTCGCTCCCGAGCAGGTGACGGTATGGCTGCGGGAGACGGAGAGCGGCCTGCCCCTACCTGGTTGCGCTCGATCCCGCTTCGGGGATCATGGTGATAGACGCTCCGCGTTGTCGGCTAGGGGTCAGGCCCGCAGGCGGCGAGGACGGGTGTTCGACTCCTTCGACATGGTCCGCATCCCCCAGGAGGTCGCGCAACAGGCGAGCGAACTGGAAGGCCGCACCGGCGAGGCCCGCATCGCGAGCCTGCCAGTGGAGTGTGTGCTGGCCGTACCTGACCACGACGAGGTTCCTCTGGAGCGGCTCGGCGCGGCGGACCGGGCAATGCCGATCCTTACCCGGACCGACCTGACGGAACAGCGGCTTCCGGGCGCGCTGCGGCGCGTTCTCGGCGGTGGCCGGCCGCGCCAGCTGAGCGAGTCGCAACAGAAGCGGGCTCGGGCGGTCGTCAACCCCGAGATCGTCCTGCTGCCAGTCGCGGGCTGAGAGCCTGCCGCTGTTCCAGGATCCTGAGATCCCCATGGAGGACGTCATCCGGGTGATGGATCGCGAGCAGGAGCGGGTGGCGGAGCATCTAGGCGCCGGATACAGGGTGCTCAGAGGCGTTGCCGGAAGCGGCAAGACGCTGGTGCTGGCCCACCGCGCCCGGCATCTGCACAAGCACTGGCCGGACTGGCGGATCCTCGTACTGTGCTTCAACCGGGTTCTGGCCAACGCGCTCAGGACGATGGTCGCGCCCGACAAGCGGCTGGAAGTCACCAACATCGACCGACTGGCCTACCACCTGGCCGAGAGAAGGGGCGGCCGCCCGGAACCCGGCCGCCTGCCGCGCCCGGCAGCGGACAGGCGCGTCGCGTCGACGGATCTGACTTCGACAGGCGCGTCCTTCAGGCCACGGAGGTCGCGCGGGGCCTGCCCGACTCGGAGTGCTTCGACGCCGTGCTGGTTGACGAGGCCCAGGACTTCGACCACCTGAGGCTGGACCTGGCCTACGCATGCTCAAGTCGGATCGTTTGCAACCGGATCTGGCCCGACCGGACCGGGACAACTTCGTGATGGCGTACGACGTGGCCCAGAACGTCTACCACCGCGGCGGAGCGCGGTGGAACCCGCCCGGCGTCGATGCGCAGGGCAGGGACGAGGACCGCGCGGGGCCGCAGCACCGTCTTCCGCAAGAACTACCGCAACACTCGGGAGATTCTCGAGTTCGCGATGAACTTCCTGGCCGGATCGCAGCACTGGCGCTCGGCGTCGGTGGACCTGGACGACCCGCGCCCTCATCCCTCCGGAGGCGGCCAAACGGTCTGGCCCGCACCCTCGCCTGACGGTCTGCCGCGACTTGAGAGAGGAGGCTGAGAGCATCGCATCCCGGGTGATGAAGCTGCTCGCTGGAGGCGTCGCTGTCTATGACATCGCCGTGCTGTATGGCTGCGCGGAGCTTCAGCAGGAGCTGCAGCAGGCGTTCTCGCACGGGGCCTGCCCTACTTTCATGTGCAAGAAAGGGGCTATGGGGCCGCCCAGATCAACCGCGACAAGGCTGTCGGTGTTCGGGACAAGGTGCGGGTGTCGACACTGACCGGCATCAAGGGCCTCGAGTTCAGCCGGGTGTTCGTCGGCGGCGCCAACCACGTCCAGCTCCACGATGTCGAGGAGACCGACCAGTTCCAAGCGACCAAGAGCCAGCTCTACGCGGCCATGACCCGGGCCATGGACGAGCTAGAGATCACCATGTCGGGCGATGGGCCGATCGGCGCGGCGCTGCGGGAGGCTGAGCGACTCCAGAGGGTGGGCTAGCCCTCGGGGTCTGTGTCGGGGGTGGGCCTTGCGAACCCGACCGGTTCGCGGCCGGCTCTCTTCAGGTCTCGCAGAGGAGCGGATACTCATCTAAGCCTCATGGGATGCTATAAAATCTACGGGAATTATATCGCTAGTTACCCAAGGCTCACGGTGGCCGTGAATTCGTGGGGCTGTTGGAGCGGCGGGTGCGTCCCTAGTTGTCGGTGTCGGTGAGGTAGCTCCATTCGCGCTTCGGGGGCTGTGTGACGAGCGCCTTGGCGACGTTCTCGGGAGTGTCGGGGATCGGCTCAGGCATCTCCCGTGCCGGGCGGCCCTTATGTCGCTTGCTGTTGTTCATGGCGGTCCTCCATCATGCTCTATCATGGTGGAGTTTGTTGTTGCGCTGTCAATTGTTTCTCGGGGTTGTCAGCCAGGGTAGAGCCTAGGCAGCGGGCCTGTCACCGCGGTGGCATTGACGGGGTCAGAAGCCCTAGTCGGTGAACTCCGCGAAGCGGCAGTCGGGCCGCATCTCGGCTCAGGCTGGCGGGCCATCCCGCCGTAGACGTTGCGCGCGCCGTAGCGGAGCCGGAATCGTGACTGACCTGTCGTCTTGGGCTGTCCCCATCAGCAGCGTCTGTTGTTCCATTCAGCAGCATCTGGATCTTGACTGCTGCTGTGAGCGATGCCGCCGTGTGGAGTTCATCAAGGCTCGCCGGGAATGGTCCTCGCCGGCTCGGGGGTGGAGATCGGCGTCGCGTAGGGCAGGCGTTTGCCGTCGAAGCCTGCGGCGATGCGGCCCATTTGGCGGATCGTGTCGAGGGGCCGGATGTTGTGGCGTCCGGTGAACTCGTTGACGTAGCGGTGCAGATGGGCCTTCGACATCTGGTGGTAGGTGCCGACGTAGCCGCGTTTGAACATCGACCACAGCGACTCGATGCCGTTGGTGTGGGCGTCGCCGTCCACGTAGCGTCCGAGGGTGTGGCCGACCGTCTGGTGGACATAGCCGAGCGACGCGAGACGCCGGTAGGCGCGGTTGTCGTCGGTGAACACCGACGCTCCCGGCTCGGCGGCCTGCGCCACGAACCGGGTGAGAGTGCGGGCGGTGGTGTTCGTCACCGGGCGGGCCGTCACCTGCTTGGTGGCCGGTCCTTCACCCCCACCACAGGGGTCTTGCCGACAGCGCCGCGGCCCATCCGCAGCCGGTCTCTGGCGTGCTTGTTGCGCTCCTTGCCCCCGATGTAGGTCTCGTCGGCCTCCACGGGTCCGGCGTACGCTTCGGGTTGAGTGTCGGCCCATGACTCGCGGATGCGGTGCGCCATGTGCCACGCCGTCTTCTGGGTCACCCCCAGGTCGCGGTGCAGCTTCATACTGGACACGCCCTTGAGGTTCGTGGTCATCAAGTAGACGGCAACAGCCCATTTCTGGCAGCCGATCTTCGAGGCGTGCATGACCGATCCGGTCTTCACCGAGAAGTCGTAGCGGCACGACCGGCACCGGTACGGCTGCGGCTTGCGGGTCGGCCGCTGCTGCACGTTGGCCGAGCCGCAGCCGGGGCAGCGCACCCCGTCAGGCCAGCGATGCTCCACGAACCACGCCTCAGCCGTCTCGTCGTCGGGGAACCTCGCGAACAGCTCCGCGAGGCTCAGGCCCTGCCGTTCGCTTCTGCCGGGCCCGCCGCCCACAGCCGGTCACCTCCCCATATCCGATTATCGGCACCACACTACCCAGGGACTGTGACACACTCGGCTCCTGTTGCACTGTGAGGGGCCTTCGCGAGTTCGTGGGGAGCGGGATGGTTGAGGGGGATCGCTCGGATGAGCACGGGGTTGGACGATTGCGGGCGTTTGATGCCTCGTCGTCCTCAGCGTCGATGTCGAGGGTGCTGTTGCGTCGTCTCGAAGTTCTGTGCCTGGCCGGTGGCGGCCGTCTGTGTTGCGTGGGGCGCCCTTCGGGACGGCCTTGGGGGTTGTGGCTGGTTTGTCGGCTGTGAGGCTGTAGCGGTCGCTCAGTTTGTGGGGGTCTGGGCGTCGCGCCCGTGGATGGTGAGGTCCTCGATACCGTCGAGGGGTGTGAAGTCGGTGATGTGGTTGTCGCCGATGTAGAGGTCCCCGAGTCTGGTGAGGCCGCCGAGGGGTTCGAGGCGGGTGATGTTGTTGTCTCTGAGGTCTAGGAACCGCAATCTGGTGAGGCCTCGAAGGGGTTCGAGGTCGGTGATGTTGTTGCGGTACAGGTGCAGGTTGGTCAGCCGGGTGAGCCCCGACAGCGGGGTTAGGTCGGAGATGTTGTTGTTGGTGAGTCGCAGGTAGTAGATCTTGTCGAGGCTGGCGAGGGCTGTGATGTCGGTGATGTTGTTGCCTGAGATCATCACCCAGTCCAAGTTGGTGAGCCCCGCGAGGGTGGAGATGTCGGTGATGTTGTTTCCGACGAGGCCCAAGCGGGTGAGTGCGCTGCGCCCCGCGAGGGGCGTGATGTCTGCAATGTTGTTGAAGTCCACAAACAGCATCTCCAAACCGGGCAGCGCCGGGAGCGCGTCGATGCTGGCGATGTTGTTCTGCATCAAATTGAGCCACCGCAGCGACCTGAGCCCTTCGAGCTGGGCGAGGTCTGCGAAGCGGTTGGCTTGAAGGTCGAGGCGCTCAAGGCTGTCGAGGCCTGTGATGGGTTCGATGTCGGCGATGGCGTTGTTGCGCAGCCGCAGCTCGGTCAGGCTTGTGGCGTGCTCGAGGCCTGAGAGGTCCGATATCAGTGCGGGATCGCCTCGGGGGCCGACGCGTTCGAGGCGCTCGATGGTGGCGATCTCTGCTGGGCTGAGGGTGCCGCCCGTGGTCTTGCCCAACGCGGCCAGCAGCGCGGCCCGCAGGCTCGGATCGTTGACACGCACCGTCGTTGTCCGTTGGGGTTCGCTGTGGATGGTGCCGCCGGATGCGGCCAAGGCGTCGAGGGGGGAGATGTCGGCGATGAGGTTGTGGCGGGCGTCGAGATAGCCCAGACCGCCCGCGGGTGCCCACCCGTTGGGGCTGACCAGGTCGTTGCCGTCGACCCACAGCGCAATGAGGCTGTTGAGCCCCGATAGGGCGCCGAGGTCTGTGATGTCGTTGTCGAAGAGGTACAGCGTCCTGAGGGCGGTGAGTCCGCTCAGCGCGGCGATGTCGCTGATCTGGTTGTCGCCAAGCCCCAGGGTCGTGAGGCCCGTGAGTCCAGACAGCGCGGCTGTGCCGGTGATCTGATTGTGGTCCACAAGCAAAGCGGTGAGGTTGGTGAGTCCGCTCAGCGCGGCGATGTCGCTGATCTGGTTGTCGTAGAGATAGAGGCGCTCAAGGCTGGTGAGTCCGCTCAGCGCGGCGATGTCGCTGATCTGGTTGCGGCCGGCGTTGAGCGTCTTGAGGCTTGCGAGGCACCGCAGGGGCGCGAGGTCGGCGATGTCGTGTCCGGCGACGTCGAGAGCCTCCAGCGCGGCGGCGTGCTCCAGGCCCGTCAGGTCGGCGACGGCGTCACTGGGCGCGTCGGATGGTCGGGGCACGCTCAGCGCGGCGAGCGATGCCATCTCCGCGGCGTTGATCGCTTCACCGGCGGGCTTGTCCAGCGCCTGTTCCAGCGCGGCGCGCAGCACCGGGTCCGGCACCGCTATCGGTGTCTCCGGCGGCACCGGTGCGGTGTCGGGGCTCGCGCACTGCGCCGCACCGGCGGAGCGGCCAGTCACAGCCGAGCTGGCGAGCCTCTCGTCGATCAGGCTGCGGCCGGAAGTGCTCTCAGCCCGCGTGGAACTTGACGCGCCGCTGGTTTGTTGGGACTCGGTGCGCTGGATTGAGATGGTGTACGCGGTGGTCAAAGCGGCGTCGGTGCCGCTGGTGACAGACGCGGTGACCGTCGCAGGCGCGGCGGGCTGGGTTGCCGGCCCGGCCGCGCCCCAGCACAACACCGTTCCTGTGGTGGTGAGCCCGCAAGAGTGGTCCTCACCCGCCGACACGACCGTGAACGAGCCCGCCGGCGCGTTCGCACGGCCTGATCCGTTGTTGCCCCCAGCACACCGCGGTGTTGTCGGTCCGCACTCCGCAGGAGTGCTCCTCGCCCGCGGAGACCGCGATGAACGTGCCCGACGGCGCGGAGGTGCGGCCGGATCCGCTGTTGCCCCAGCACGAGACGGTTGAGTCGGTGGCGATCGCGCAGTTGTGCTGCCAGCCAACCGCGAGCGAGGTGAACGTTCCCGACGGGGGGCTTGCTTGGCCGCGGATGTTCAGCCCCCAGCAGCTCAACGTCCCCGCGGAGGTGATCCCGCAGGAGTGGTTCCCGCCCGCGGCCACCGCGGTGAAGGTCCCCGAAGGTGGCCGGGACTGACCGCTGAAGTTGTATCCCCAGCAGCGGGCGGTCCCAGAGGTGGTCAACCCGCAGGAGTGCCCCCAGCCCGCCGACACCGACGCGAAGCTCCCGCTGGGCGCTCGCGACTGGCCGAAGAAGTTGTCACCCCAGCACTCGACCGAGTTGTCTATCTCGAGCCCGCAGGTGTGCCCCCAGCCCGCCGACACCGACGCGTAGCTCCCGCTCGGTACCCGCGACTGGCCCAAGTAGTCACTGCCTCCCCAACAGCGGGCCGCGCCTCCGGCGGTCAGGCCGCAGGAATGATAGTTGCCCACATCCACCGACACGAAACCCGTGTTTGTGGTCAAGGCCACCTGATGGCCAGGCGAGCCGTCAGCGCCGCTGCTCGCGTCCAGCGGCGACACCGAAACCGAATCGGCCGCGTCCGCCGCCAAGTACGCCACCGTCACCTCGTCCACATCCGGCGGCACCACCACCGAATACCCGGTCACCGCAGAGTCGAAGGCCGGCACCAGCACATAGGGCGGACACCCCGCCCCGGGACAGTCCACACCCGAAGCCAGCCGCCGCACACCCAACGCGGACAACTGCGGCCGTGCCACGACGCGGATCGTGTAGCTGCGGGTCACGATCCCGTCGAAGGGCGCGGCGACGCTCACCCGTCACCACCGAGCCGTCCTGCACGAACACCGCGTGATCCGCTACCGCGGCGCCCGTCACAGAAGAACTGCCACCGGCACTGTCCACAGACAAAGTGACCTGCGGGTCGGCGTCGCCAGCGGCGACGCCGTCGGCTGCCCACCCGACCGTTGCCGTCCCCGCGAACGCCGCCACCTCGTATTCGGTGACATCCTCATCGAACACACCGTCGAGCAAATCTGTGCCCCCCGCCGTCAACGACAGCGACACCAGCCTGCCCTGTGGCGCCTGGCCGTCTGTGTTGTCGCCCCAGCACGAAACCGTCGCGTCGCCCAGCACCCCACAAGCGTGACCCCGACCTGCCGCCGCATCGATGAACGATCCCGGGGGCGCGACCAGCCGACGGTCGCTGCTGTCGCCCCAACAGCTCAACGCCCAGCCCGGCAACCCACGAGCACACGTATGATCCGCCCCGGCCCACACATCAGCGAAATCGCCCGCCGGGCCGTCGAGCTGGCCGTCTGTGTTGTCCCCCCAGCACGACACAGCCAAACCGGTGCTGACCACACAGGTGTGGGACGCGCCCGAGGCCACGTCGCGCACCGCGAACGGCAACGAAGACGGCGGCAGCTGCCCATCACCGTCGTCGCCCCAACAAACCACATCCGACGCATCGGTGATTGCGCAAGTATGAGCCGAGCCGGCCGCCACCCTCGAGACCCGCTGACCGCCCGAGCCGCCGAAGCGGCCCACCGGCACATCGGTCTGGTCAGAGCTGTTGTCGCCCCAGCACACCACACGCGCATCCGGGCGCACACCGCACACATGAGCATCCCCCACAGCCAACTGAACGAACCGGCCCTCGGGCGCCCCCACAGCACCCGAGCCTGCGACCTCCGCCACCGCAGAAGGCACATCACCCCAACAAAGAACCGCCTGATCACCGCGGCGCACCCCGCACACGAAATCCGCGGCCGGCGGCGACGACAACGACTCAAACGCGAACCCCGGCACACCGTCCACCACAGAATCGACACCCCAGCACTGCACCGCCCCGTTGGAACGCAGCCCACACGAATGAACCGGCCCCAGACGACACCGCGACGAACCCACCCAGCGGACCCGACGGCACCCGCAGACCAAGAATCGCTCCCAACCCCGCCACCGCCGCATCCGGGTCCACAATCCCATAGCCGTAGGCGTCGTCGCGAACAACACCCCTCGGATGCCGCGCGGTCGCCTCCAACGCCCGCCGAACCTGCCCGGGCGTCGCATGCGGATGCCGGTTCAACACGTGCGCCACCACCCCCGACACGAACGGCGCCGCCATCGACGTGCCCGACTTGTGCGCGATCCGGCGCGCGCAGAACGGCGGCCGGTCGAGGTTGCTGGTGTGGAGCCCATGGATTGAGGAGCACTCCGTGGGTGAGTCGGCACGGCCACAACCGAGAGGTGTCCACCGGTCGTCGATCCTGTCGCCGTCGGTGTCCTCGGCCGTGCAGGTCACCAGCGGCACAGTCGACAGGATTGCCTCTCCAGGAGCGGCGACATCCACATGGGTCTGGGCGGTGCTGAACGAGGAACGGCCTCCACCGTGGTGAACCGCAGCCACCGAGATCACTTCGTCGTAGAGCGCGGGGGACTGGACGGCGTTGTGCTCCGGGCATCTGTTCCGTTGCCAGCCCTTCATAGTGACACCGCCAATCGTCACGTCGGCGTCGTTGCCGCAGTTGCCTGCGGAGGCCACCAGCACGACCCCGAGCATCGAAGCGGCCCGCAGCACCAACTCGAACGAATCCGGTTCGGCGATGGCGACCCCGCCGACTTCGAGGCCGGCCTCGTCGCCGGGAGGCGGGCCCGAAAACGACATGTTGATCACATCGGCTCCCGCGTTCACCGCGGCGGCCACCGCCTCAGGGATCGTCAGCGGGCTGCCTCCTGCGCTGCAGGCGGGCGTGAGGCCCAGATCCACCCGCACGGGCAGGATCTTCGCCTGCGGTGCCACCCCGGCCACATGCGGGTCGGCCGCCGCCGGGTCGTGTTCCGCGGCGACGATGCCGGCCACATGGGTGCCGTGACCGTGGAGGTCCTCCTCGTGGCACCCGCCCAAGCTTCCAGACGCGATCTGGTCGTTCAAGTCGTCATGGTCGACGTCCACGCCGGTGTCGAGCACCGCGACGGCCACCTCATGGCCCGCGCCAGTGTCCCAACTGTCCCACAGACCGTCGGGTGTCTTGGTGAACTCCGGTGTGAGATGCCATTGCGGCCCGCCGCCGTCGTCGTAGTGGGAGGCGTCATCATCCATACCGTTCTCGTCGTGGGTGGGGGCGAAGCCCCGCAGCGGCTCGCTGACCGCATGCACACTCGACTCTGCTGCCAACAGCTCGCGCACCTGCGCGACGCTGCGTCCCGCCAGCGCCACATAGTCCACCAGCAAACAGCCCCCCGCGATGCGGGTCACCTCCGCCACCGTCAACGCAGCGTCGGGGTCGTTGAGACCCGCAGGCGGATCCACCACCGTGACCCCGGCCACATCCAGCTCAGGCGCCGCCGAGCAGTCGGACTGCGCGGGCGTCACCGTCGCGGCCGCCTCCCTCAGCGCCTCCAGATCGATCCCAGAGCGCGTCGGCGCGGTGAACGGATCGAACGCACCATCACCGGAGCCGTCCGCGTCTGCAGGCACCGCCACCGCCGCGCTGGGCGACCACAACGACACACCGAAGGCGTTGCGGGCCCGCACCGCGAACCAATGCTCCCCCACATCACGGGCCAGACCCGCCACCAGCGCCTCCGAGCCGTCGAACTCCACCAGCAACCCGCCAACCGGCCCGCGGGGGTCCAGCAGCACCCAGCCGTCGGCGGCGCGCGCCATCAACTCATAGTCGGCGGCGCCGGCCACATCGTCCCAGTCCAGCGACACCACCCCAGCCGCCAGCCACCGGCCCCCGAACGCGAACCCCTCAGCCAGCACCGGCGCCCCCGGACCAGCCACCGACCCCGAAACAGAGCCATCCCGCCCGTCGGCGGGAACCTGCTGCGCCGCCGCCGGAGCCGCCAGCGACGCCAGCACCCCCGCCACCGCAACAACCGCCCCAAACCACCGCCCCGGCCTCATCAAGAACCTCCAGATCACCTTGAACCGCTACCGAGCCGGAGTCTGCCGCCCCCAGCCAGCTAACTGCACGTCCGCCCATATAAACAACGTCAAAACGTCAATCATCATCATTCAAAATCACTTCACGTCCCAGGCACCAGCATGACGGCTGCGCCGGCGCGGCCTGACTCGCCGCTGCTTGGAGGTGTCAGGTCCGCGGCGTCGGTCGCGCTGCGATCCGGAGTCGTTCAGGACGCGCTCGGCGACGTCGGGATCGGCGACGAGGCCAGCGGGCGGGCGCGAAGCCGGCCTGCGACGCTTGACGCTGAACACGGCCGCGCCGGCGGCGCCTGCCGCCGCGAACAAGATCAGCTTCAGCGACCCGACTGCGGCCCACGAGCGGGGTTGGTGGTTGTAGGGGTCGATCAACGCGTAGCGATCGGGGCCCGCAAGCCCCTCTAGGGGCGTCATGACGACCGCAGCGACCTCGTCGCTGCCCCTGATGTCGAGCATGTCAACGAGGCCGTTGCCTGCGGCATCGAAGACGACGGAATGCTCGAAGCTTGCTCCCTTCGGCCGAGCAGGAGGAGGTTCAGGCAGGCATGGTCGGTGGAGTACTCTCCCGCGTCGGCGGCGTCGATATATAACGGTTGTTCCGTCGTGCCGATCAGGCTCACGGTCGGCTTGAACCGCGGGTCGCCGCAAACATGCATGTCCATGTAGGTGCGGGTGTTGGTGCGGATAATCTCCACGACGCATAGGTCGCTGCACTCAACACTGCGAATCGTCACATCATAGTCTGCGTGGTAGGCGAACGGCTGCCCGATAACAACCTCTTGGCCAGCGATCGCTGGTGGGCCCGACGAGTACACAAACAGCGCACAGGCCAACGCAATGGCAACCAGCATCACAACCGCGGCGCGACGCGTCTGACGGGGCCTGCACAGGAGCCTGACAACGAGCGCACCCGCCGCCACCGCCACCGCGGCCACCGCGGCCACCGCCAGCAGCCTCAGCAACGGCACTCCGTCCCAACTCATGGCCCAGACTCCAGCACCGGCTGCCGCCCAGGCTCCAGCGTGGTCGAGCCAGCCCCCGGTGCCGCAAGGACAACCCACGCTGGCAGACACTACCGAACCCACCCTCAACGATGTGATCGCCCGACTCGACGGCATCGACCAGCGGCTTGACGGCATCGAGAACCACATGGAGTCCCTATGCACGCGGTGACCTCCCTAGAGCACTCCGTTACCGACCTGGGCGGCACCCTCACCCGCAAGACTCGCGGCGATGGGCGCCGGGGCCGGCATGATGCTCCAACAACTCTCCGGTGACTGATCGCAGACGCCGACGGAGCCGGCCACCGCGGGAGATGCCCGATCCAATCCCAGACACTCCCGAGAACATCGCCAGAGCGCTCCTGGCCGCCCCACGCCAAACACGACTGGCGCCACCTCAACGACACGGCTGACGAGATGCGCCACGGGGATGGGTAACTAGCGATATAACCCCCAAATCTACTATAGCAACCTCTGGGTTCTTTGTTGTCTCCTGTTGCAGTTGTTGTCTTCTGTTGCAGTTGTTGGTTCTTGTTGTCGTTGTTGGGGTCTCACCGGGGCTAGTGGATGCCGTAGATGTAGCCGCCCTTGGTGCCGACCACGATCAGGCCGTCCCACACCGCCGGGGTGGACTCGATGCAGGCGCCCAGCTCGATGCTCCAGAGCTGGAGCGGCTCCACCGTCGTGTCGCTCACGTCGAAGGCGTAGAGCTTGCCCCCGCAGGTGCCCTGGATCCACACGTCGTCGACGATGGCGGGGCTGGGCCAGGTGGGACCGGGCAGCTTCTTGGTCCAGCGCACCTCGCCGGTGGCGGTGTCCACGCCGTAGACGTGGCCGGTGTGGGTGGGCACGATCAGCAGGTCGCGGTGCAGCCCCGGCGTGGCCCACACCCCCGACGCGTTGAGCGTGCCCCGCACGTGCACGCTCCACACCAGCGGATCCTCGGGCAGGCTGGGGTCGAGCTTGATGATCTGGCCAACGTCGTGGGAGCGGGCCGTGCCCCTCTGGTACTCGACTCCAACGTAGATCATCCCCTCGGCGTCGATCACCAGCGAGGCGTCGGTGTCGTCGCCGGTCCAGAAGCGGAACACCCGCTCGGGCACGGCCGCAGGATCCTCTCGCAGCCCGGCGATGTCCCAGCCCTGGACCAGCCCGCCCGAGTTGGCGAAGTACACGGTGTCGCCGCTGATGGCCACCGAATTCTCGATCGACAGCTCCCGGCCGACCGCGTTGAACAGCTCGTCGTCCCAGCCCGGCGCATGGAACACCACCTGCGGGTCGGCGGTCACCAGCCCGTCGTCGCCGTATCCCCGGTTGAGCTTCACGATGTGGAACCGGGAGTTCTCGCCCCCGATGAACAGGTAGTCGTCGATCACCATCCCGGCGCCGTCCCAGTCGTCGTTCCACATGATCGGCGCGAGCTCGTACGCGCCGAGCGACCAGAGCTCCCGGGGCGCCCCGCCGTCGAAGGCGATCACCCGGTACTGGTTGTCCCGGCTGCCGGTGTACACCAGCGGGTAGCCGTCGGGGTCGATCGTCACCGACCCCTTGATGATGTCGCCGGTAGCGAAGTCGGCAGCAGGCGCTGGCCGGTGTCGGCGTCGAGGAAGTGGACGTTGCGGCTGAAGGCGCCCACCACCACCCAGGTGCGGCCGTCGCGCTCGAAGACGGCGGGCTGGCCGGTCCAGCCCGTGCCGCACCACTGCCGGGGCTGGCCGCCGACCGACGACAGCGAGCACATCGGGTCGCCGTCGGGGAACCGCCAAGCCACCTGCGGCGCTGACGGCACCGGGCCCTTGCCGTAGTAGGTGCGGGTGGGGTTGCCCCGGAACGTGAGCAGTCCCTCCACCGCGTCTCCCCACGGCTGGCCCGACGTCTCCGGGTCCACCCAGCCCTCGAACGGCGGCACCGTGGTGGTCGTGGTCGTCGTCGTGGTGTGGTCGTTGTCGTGGTGGTGGTCGTCGTCGAGGTCGCGGCCGCTGCGAGGGCGAGGTCGGTCTCGTCGGGCTCGCCCCGGTCCACTCGGGGCGCCCACGCCAAGGCGACTGCCGCGATCACCGCGAACACGGCGGCGAACGCCAGGCCCAGCGTGCCGGCCTCGACTGCATGCGCATGACTCCATCATGCCCACTGCGGCGCAGTTCGCTGTCGTTCACCCGTCACTCGGCGGCCGTAGGATCGCAGGCGTGAGCGGGAACGATCACCAGCCACTCACCGTCGCCTTCGACGCCGACGACACGCTGTGGCACAACGAGGACCTGTTCCAGCACGTGCAGCGGGAGTACGAGGAGCTGCTCGCGCCGTGGGCCGACGCCGCCACGGTGGCCGACCGCCTCCACGAGGTGCAGATGGAGAATCTGCCCCGCTTCGGCTACGGCGTGAAGTCGTTCACGCTGTCGATGATCGACGCCGCCGTCCGCATCAGCGAAGGCCAGGTCGAGGCCGACCGCATCACGACGATCATCGGCTACGGCAGACAACTCCTCGACCGCCCGTGGAGCTGATCGACGGCGTCGAGGAGGTGCTCGACAGCCTCGGGCACCACCGGCTGATGATCATCACCAAGGGCGACGTGCACGACCAGCTCGCCAAAGTGGCCGCCAGCGGCCTGGCCGAGCGGTTCTGGCGGGTGGAGGTGGTCGCCGACAAGGACGCATCCGCCTACGGCGAGCTGCTGGAGCGCCACGGGATCGATCCGGCCCGCTTCGTCATGGTCGGCAACTCACTTCGCTCAGATGTGCTGCCCGTGCTGGAGCTGGGCGGGGCCGCGATCCACGTCCCCTATCCCGGTTACATGGCGACACGAGGACGACCACGACGGCGACAACGCCGACGTGCCCACGCTGGACGGCCTGCGCGCTCTGCCGGAGCTGTTGAGGTCCTGGGACGGCGACGGCGAGTTGGGACCCGGCATGGCCGGACCGGCCGGCACCGGCGGACGCTACGGCCTGCACCCAGCGTGAGGCGACTGACCCCGCAAGAGATCGCGGGCTATGACCTGGTGCCGCCCGAAATCGCTCGCCGGGCCCGAGTGCAAAGGGTGCCCGTGCTGACCCGGGATGCACGGCATGACGCTCGGCCGGCTCGTCCTGCTGCGCCGAGACGACGACCGCTCAGGACGGCGGAGGACTGCTGGCCCACGAGCTGGTGCACGTCGAGCAGTACGCCCGGCTGGGGATCCTCCCGTTCCTGTGGCGCTACCTGCGGGAGTACGCGCTCAACCTCTGGCGGCTGCGGTGCCACCGCCGGTCCTACGAGGCGATCTCCTTCGAGGCCGAGGCGAGAGCCGCCGCGGACCGCTGGGCGGCTCAGCGACCAAATCTGTAGAGAAAGCAGTCATAGTGACGTGTTTCTCTACAGATTTGGATCACAGGGGGCGTCGAGGCCCGTGCCGCCGCGGCCGCGGGGCGGACCCTCGCCCCGCGGGCTCAGTACTCGTAGAAGCCGCGGCCGGTCTTGCGGCCCAGGCGGCCCGCGGCGACCATGCGGCGCAGCAGCGGCGGCGGCGCGTAGAACCGCTCCGCGTACTCCGCGTACAACGACTCGGCCGTGAACAGGCACACGTCGAGCCCGATGAGGTCGGCGAGGGTGAGCGGCCCCATCGGGTGCCCGGCCCCCAGTTCATGGCGTCGTCGATGTCGGCAGCGGAGGCGTGGCCCGACTCGTACATCTCGATGGCTTGGCAGATGTAGGGCACCAGCAGCTTGTTGACCACGAATCCGGCCCGGTCCGGGGCCGCGACCACCCGCTTGCCGAGGGTGTCGGCAGCGAACGCGGTGGCGGCCTCGGTCACCTCCGGCGCGGTGAGCTGGGTGCTGATCACCTCGACCAGCTTCATCACCGTGGCCGGGTTGAAGAAGTGCATGCCCAGCACCTGCTGGGGGCGCGTCGTGCCCATGGCCACGTCGATGATGGGGATCGACGAGGTGTTGGTGGCCATGATGGCCGACGGGTCCAGCACCCGGTCGAGCACGCCGAAGATCTCCAACTTCAGCGCCAGGATCTCGGCACGGCCTCCAGCACCAGAGTCGCAGCCGGCCAGGTCGCCCAGGTCGGTGGTCCAGGTGACGGCCGCGGACGCGGCGTCGCGGGTGGCCTCGTCGAGCTTGCCCCGGGCGACGCCCCGGTCCATCGACCCCTCGACACGGCTCCGGCCGGCCTCCACAAGATCCGGCGACGCCTCCTGGGCCACCACTCGCAGGCCGTTGCGGGCCGCCACCTCCACGATGCCGCTGCCCATCGTGCCTATTCCGATCACTCCGATAGTGCCGATGTCCATGTCCGGTGCTCCTGTAGCGTGCGCTCGCGCAGCGAGTGCTCGTGTGCCGGCGCTGCGCAGTTCGCGGGACTCCGACGCTAGTCAGTCCGACTCGGCGATCGTCACCGAATTGATGGTCACATCGGTGAGCGGGCGGTCGTTGCGGTCGGTCTCGACGCTCTGCATGGCGTCCACCACCTCGAGCCCCCGCACTACCTTGCCGAACAGCGAGTACTGAGGCGGGAGCCCGGCACCGTTCGGGCCGCTGATGATGAAGAACTGGCTGCCGTTGGTGTTGGGGCCGGCATTGGCCATGGCCAGCGAGCCGGTCTCGTAGCGGCCCGGCCTGGGCAGCTCGTCGGCGAAGCGGTAGCCGGGGCCGCCCCGGCCGGTGCCGGTGGGATCGCCGCCCTGGCAGACGAAGCCCCGATGATGCGATGGAAGATCACGCCGTCGTAGTAGTGGTACCGGGCCAGCACCACGAAGTTGTTGACGGTGAGGGGCGCAGCCGCCGCATCGAGGGCGATGGTGATCGCCCCCATCGAGGTGTCCATCGTCGCCGTGTACCGCTTGGAGGGGTCGATGCACATGGGAGGCGGCTGGCGGAAACTCGCGGCGGACCGGGCTCGATCCGTCCTCGGCGGGGCAGGGTGTGGCGGCCACGGTTGACTCCTCAGTGCTCGAGCCGGCAAAGACCGGGCGACCCTAACCGCGTATCGGCCGCGCCGTGCCGGGCCGGGGATCATCCACCCGCGCGCGGCAGCACTCTATGGTGGCGCCCGTGCGTGAAATGGTCCCACTCCGGGCCCGTGCATTGGACCGAGCCTTCTCGGCCGCAGTGGCTCGGCTGTTGCATCGGCGACGTCGCCCGGTGGAGCACCTGCCGGTGCTGTCGCTTCCCGTCGGCGACGCGCCGTACTCGCTGCGCTGCGAGCACTGCGACGTCATGTGGCGGGGGTCGCCGTCGGTGCCGTGCTGGTGCTGCGGCGCGCCGGGCGCCATCAGGGGCGAAGTGCGGATGTTCGCCGACTGAGCGGCGCAGCCGTCCCGCTCCATCGTCGCCGAGGGGGCGGCCGATAGGGTCGGGGCCATGACATTGCACTGGTCCGACACCGGGGTAGAGGTCCACAAGGTGGTGGTCGGCCCGGTTGAAAACAACGTCTTCGTGATCCGCTGCACCTCCACCGGCGAGGCGGTGCTGATCGATGCGGCCAACGAGCACGAGCGGCTGCTGGACCTGTGCCGGGGGCTCGGCGTGCGCACCGTGCTGGAGACCCACGGCCACTGGGACCACATCCAGGCCATCCCGGCCGTGCGCGAGGCGGGCTACGAGGTGGGGGTGACCGCGCAGGACGCGGCCATGCTCCCCAGCTACGACTACCTGCTGGAGGACGACACCGTCGTCGAGGTCGGCCGGCTGCGCCTGCGCACCCTGCACACGCCGGGCCACACCCCGGGCTCGATGTCGTTCCACGTGGAGGGGACCCCCCTGCTGTTCACCGGCGACACGCTGTTCCCGGGCGGGCCGGGCGCCACCCAGTACGGCGGCGGGACTTCGCGACCATCATCGCTCCATCGAGGGCAGGATCTTCAGCAAGTTCGACGGGTCCACGATCGTGCTGCCCGGCCACGGCCTCGACACCACCCTCGGCACCGAGTCCCCGCACCTCGACGAATGGGTCGCCCGGGGCTGGTGAGGCTGGGCGGACGGCGATGGCACTGCGAGGGTGACCCTCGAAGCCCAACCGATAGCGTGACCCCGCTGCTGGCAGGCCGCACATCAGGAGGTTCCATGAGCAGGCTTCTCGAAGGCAAAGTGGCGCTCGTCACCGGCGCGGGGCGCGGCATCGGGCGCGAGCACGCCCTGATGCTCGCCGAGCACGGGGCCAGGGTGGTGGTCAACGACCTGGGCGGCGACGAGTTCGGCGGAGGTGCCGACATGACGCCCGCGGCGAGGTGGTGGAGGCCATCACCTCGGCGGGGGAGAGGCGTCGTCAACGGCGGCAGCGTGGCCAGCTTCGACGATGCCGGGCCATGGTGCAGCAGGCCATCGACACCTTCGGCGACATCAACATCGTGGTCAACAACGCCGGCATCCTGCGCGACCGCATGGTGTTCTCGATGACCGAGGACGACTGGGACACCGTGATGGCCGTGCACCTCAAGGGCACGTTCGGGCCGTCGCACCACGCCGCGGCCTACTGGCGCAACAAGGCCAAGTCGGGCGAGGAGACCTACGGGCGGATCATCAACACCGCCTCCCCGTCGGGCATCTACGGCAACGTCGGGCAGACCAACTACGGAGCGGCCAAGGCGGGGATAGCCGCGTTCACGGTGATCGCGGCCCAGGAGCTGGTCCGCTACGGCGTGACGGTCAACTGCCTGGCTCCCACCGCCTGGTCGCGCCTCACCGCCCCGCTGATGGGCGGCGACGAGGCCCCGGAGGACTTCAAGGACAGCATCGACCCCCGCTGGATCGCAGTGACCACAGCCTGGCTGGCCAGCCCCGAGGCGGCCAACGTGACCGGCCGGGTCTTCGACATTCGGGGCGAGAATCTGGGCATCGCTGAGGGCTGGCACCTCGGCCCGGTGGAGGTCCAGCCCGACAATCCGGCCGAGCTGGGCCCCGTGGTGGCCAAGCTGATGGCCGAGGCCCGCCTCAACGCCAACATGGCCGGCAAGGATCACGAGGGCCTCGGCTTCCCCAGCCAGTCCATCTAGCCGTCGGACCGTCGGCTGCCGTCGTGCCATGAGGTTGGCACGACGACCTATAGCGCCCGGAGAACGCCGGGCTAGTTGGCGCTCGCGCCGCGGTCGGCTGCCGGAAGCCTGATCGTCATCTCTGTGAACTCGCCGGGCTCGGACCGTGCCGTTATCGAGCCGCCGTACCTCCGTACCACGTCGCTGGAGAGGCTGAGTCCCAGTCCCACGCCCGTTCCCGACGGTTTCGTCGTATAGAACGGGTTGAAGATCTTGTCCATGGAGTCGGCCGGGATTCCGGTTCCATTGTCGCGGATGCGGATGACCACCTCTGCGCCGGTTCGCTCTGTTCTGAGCCACAGAGTCGGCTTGTACGAGCCGTGGTCTTCCTCGACCATTCGCCGTTTCTCGTCCATTGCGGAACAGGCGTTGCCAACCAGATTCAAGAACACCCGGCCCATGTCCTCGGGCACTACCTGCATCTCCCCGACACTGGCATCGCAGTCGCTGTCGATGTCGATCTCGAAATCCTCGTACAGGGCGAGGGCGCTGTGGTATGCGATCATGGCTCTGTCGTTGAGCAGGTCGTTGATGTCACGGGCTGGGGCTTGCCGCCTCCGCGTCCGATCATCACCATGTCCCGCACGATCCGGTTGGCACGGTCTCCGTGAGTTCGCATCCGCAGCATGTTCTCGGCCAGCTCGTCGGTGATGCCGACGATCAGACCGCGCTCGTCGTCCTCGAGGTCCTCCACATGCTGCTCGATCGCCTCACGAAGCTCGGCGACCAGCTCCTCCGACGCCTCAGAGAAGTTCTTCATGAAGTTCAGAGGGTTCCTGATCTCGTGGGCCACACCCGCGGTCAGCTCGCCGAGCTCCACCAGCTTCTGGCGTAGGATGATCTGATCCTGCGTCTGCTGCAGCTCCAACAGCACCCGCTGCAGCTCGTCGTTCTTCTGTTGCAGGTCGTCGGACAGTTCTCGCACGAGATCCAAGCTGCTGAGCCTCGATTGACCGCTGCCGGAGCCTCTCCAGGGCGTTGGCGGCTTCGTTCACCTCATCGTTGCCGGCCAGCTCCACTGTGTAGTCCAGGTTTCCCTCGCCCATGTGGCGAATCCAGATTCCAGCGCGACGGAGCGGAGGCCAGTGCGCACCAGGCGATAAAACGTGAAGACGAACAGGGCGAGGCAGATCGATGCGAGAACGACCAACGCACGGTCACCGGTGGCGATCGTTGCACCAGCAGCGCGACATTAACGATGAGGATCAGCGCCATGGCGAGGATCACCTGAACGGACTTGCGCCGAAGGCTGTATGGGGAGATCGGGTCCTCTCGCCACTGGTAGTCGACTCAAGCGCCATGGTCTCGGTTCCTTCGGCTTGCTGGTAGATGCTGATCGGGGGGCCGGGCAGCCAGGCCAGCTGATGCACAGGTGTACGTACAAAACCGGCTTGGCACCGGCGAAGGACTCGAAAGCCTGGCGGACCGGGAGCGGGGGGCCGCAACAGTGCGAGAGACAATGACCGCTGGCCGGAGGACTGGTTCTGGAGCTCTCTTTGACGGTCAAATGTCTGAGGTTTACGCTTCCGAGGTGTGAGACCCCTCGAGGACGTGCGCATCGTCGCTCTGGAGCAATACGGCGCCGGCCCCTTCGCCACCATGAACCTGGCCGACCTGGGCGCCGAGATAATCAAGATCGAGGACCCCGCGGCTGGCGGGGATGTCGCCCGCTACCTGCCCCCGTTCCAGCACGAGGACTCCAGCCTCTTCTTCGAGACCTACAACCGCAACAAGCGCAGCGTCGCGCTCGACATCCGCAGCCAGGCGGGTCGGACCGTGTTCAACGACCTGGTGGTCCAATCCGACGCAGTGTTTTCGAATCTGCGGGGCGACCTTCCCGGCGTGCTCGGCATCTGCTATGACGACCTCAAGGAGCTCAATCCCCGGATCGTCTGCTGCTCGCTCAGCGGCTTCGAGCGACCGGCACCCGGGATCTAGCAAAGGGTGGCTACGACACATACGCACGCACTGGGTCTCCTTATGCGGCTGGATGGCTCTAACCGGAGACCCAAACGGGCCGCCCACGAAGTCGGGTCTGTCGATGGTGGACTTCTCGGGCGGCTTCGTGGCCGCAATCGCGCTGCTCACCGGGATCCACGCCGCCCGCCGAGACGGCGTCGGGATGGACTGCGACCTGAGCCTCTACGACACCGCTATCAGTCTGCTCGGTTACCTGGGCACCTGGCACCTCACCGGCGGGTTCGAGCCCCAGCGGGTGGCCGAGTCCGGGCATCCGTCGCTCGTCCCGTTCCAGATCTTCGAGGCCAGTGACGGATGGCTGGTGATCGGACATATGCGCAAGGAGAAGTCATGTGGAGGCAGCGGGCTCACGAGAGGGTCATCGGCATGCCGGTTGGCCCGATGATCGCGGCGGTTCGTAATAGACTTACCGCGGCCCGATACAGCCACACAAGGCCGAGCTGTGGACTGATCCTGAGAGAGAGAAGCGATGCGACACAGCACAACGCCTCAGGAATGAGCTCGAGCTTATAGAGGCAGGACGGCACGGGTGCCGTCTCGGGACCCATCCAGGGCTGTTCCGGGGAGGGCATGAAGAGCACCCTCACACCCTGGCCCGGGGAGTGATCGTCGAGACCGACCACCCCCACCATGGGACGATCCGGCAGCCTGTGACGCCAGTGCGGGTGCGTATCCCACAGCCGAGACCGCGTCTTGTGCGCCAGGACCGGCGCTGGGTGCGGACGCGCCGTACGTGCTCAAGGAACTCCTGGGCTACGACGACGACCGCATCGACCAGTTCCGGGCCGACGGCGCCTTCGGCGGAGACGCGGATGACACCGTGCCCTGCGTTTGACCGCCAAAGTGTCCG